CTTTATGACTACCATATACCCATCTTCCTATGGCTGTTTCCAGCAGGATACCACACCATGTCACAAAGCTCAAATAATCTCCAACTGGTTTCTTGAACATCACAATAAGCTCATTGTACTCAAATGGCCTCCATAGTTCCCAGAGATTGCCGTCATGGATGTGGAGCCAACAAATCTGCAGCAACTGTGAGTTGCCATCGTGTCATGATGGACAAAAATCTCTGAGGAATATTTCAAACACATTGTGGAATCTATTTCGTAAAGAATAAAGGTAGTTCTGAGGGTTTCAATCCAGTACAAGCAAGGTGTACCTAACAAACTGGATAATGAGTGTATATTGTTTAAAGTTGCAAGTAAAGCAGTACTACCCAATATCAAGAGCAAGTCGAGCCAAAGCAAAAAGTACAAGTGTGGGCACGGCGAAGCTTAATAAAACACAGAGTTCACAGAAATCTGGTGTTGTAGTATTAGCGTTGCCCAGAAGGGTTTAACAGGTACATGAAATTCAAAGCAATTCCATTGGATCCACCTGGTGCAGTGTGTGCTCTCGCTGTGATTCAGATGAGACAGAGTAGGAGCTACATGCCAAGAACGGTAGGTGGCAGATGGTTGAATCTGTGGCCAGGGGGGTGGTGGCAGGCAGAACATGCTAACAAGGTGCAAGTGAAAATGAGTCGTGAGCTGCCACGTTGGAAGATGGACAGTATGCTAATATAGGAGTATAAAAAAATTCTTCCAAAGAGGAAAGGGCACTCGTTTTGGTGTAGTTTGTGTGTTAGTAAAATAATGGACTACAGTTACGTAAGAGATCTGAGCTTTGATTAATTAAATGAAATGATTTTAATTTGGTTTGGAAGGAATTTGTTCGTGTGATGCAGATGCCCTTTTAATACTTTGTTTTGCAAATATATTTTGGTCCACTTGTCCTTGAGAAATTGTTTGTTTTTGCTATCACAAGTGGAAAATGTGTCGTATTTCTCAGACAGCGGTATGACTAATGCATTAAACGGTTTTTGCACAGGAGAGTAGATCTGCCCATTTAAAAACCTCTTTTCTTGTGTCCAGAATGATTTCCATCGTGCCATTCAAAGGACCCACTCTGCCATGTTTAACCAGGTGTTCATCCTCATCTGCACCTTACTGTGTCTGGTTTTCACCGGGTGAGTCAGCCTCTGTTCTCGCTGTTAGTCACTGAAGTGTATCTCTGACCGCTGGGGCAAAATCTGTTCTCTGAACCTTGTACCACGTGACCCCAAAAACATCGTCTCACAGTTGGTGGTCTGCATGGCTTATTATCCGGTAGAAGCAATATATGTTGTGGAAACGAAAACTGTAAAAAGCAAAACATGTAGCTATTCAAAGATCTGTTGAAAGCAGGCCTTGTGAGCTACGGTTGGTTATTGGCAAAGGTTAATGTTTTTTAAGAGGTAGTATCCAAGAAAGAGATACATATTTGCTACTGTTGCTGGAAAAAGAAATGCTTATAAAAATGCACTGATGATCAGCGTCAGAGTAAACAGACCTACAAATACTTATTGTATTGATAACCTTGTTTTCTTTATTATTAATTGATTTTCTTGTTTTAAAACAGTGAATTTAATCAAAGTTGTGTTATTTCTGACAGCATAGCTCTGATTCACTTTCCCCCAGCCCCAGCCTTTGTCCAACTTATTCAAAACAAGAAAAAAACACCTAATGAGCAGTCAGGGGAAACTGACAGAACAATCATGGTGTCACTTTAAATGCCATACTGAGGAGAAGCCCACGTTGGGCTGACCTTTGGGCCTTTGTTCTTGGTCAAATTGAATTGTAATATCCAGTCTAGACATGACTATATTACCATAGTGAAAGAGATTGCCTTAGTAGAATATATCCCCTTTCATATGTTATATTTTAATTATCTTTACCCGTAGGACATTTGTCTGGTGTCATTGTACGATTCCTCGTTTTTATGCAGGGCTTGTGGGATCCAGCATCTAGAGAGAGCTGGGAAGAACTTGACCTTATTTGACTCGTTCTATTTCTGCATCGTTACTTTCTCCACCGTGGGCTACGGGGACGTCACGCCACAAATCTGGCCCTCCCAGCTGCTGGTGGTCATTCTCATCTGTGTTGCCCTGGTGGTGCTGCCGCTACAGGTACCGACTCTGTGCTAAATTAAAAACCAGCGATTTTCACTGCAAAGTGCAGTGAAGGGTTGCGGTTTGTTGTAAGCCTCGTGTTAGGTCTGTTTAATCACAAGGAATTCTTTAATATTCCGCATTCAGTGATGACCTTTGTGTGGGTATCATCAGATATTAAATGACATTTTCAAGCTGGCCTGCAGCTCGTAAAAGTCTAATTTGGTCCTTCGCTTCTGTGACATTTTTTTGGCTGCAGGAGAAGTTTGCAAGTGCCAGTCAAAATCCTGGCTCACATTTGCAGCATCATTAGCCCACATATATACTGTGTTATTTATATTTCATCCCTTCACATGTCTCAAAAAGTTTCTGGAGATGAACTCCCGCTGCTGCCAAATTA